CCAGTGCTTTGGAGAATAGGTCAATTCCCTCTCCTTTGTATCAGTTTGAAGATTAAAGTTGAAGAGTAGTACCACATAAACTCTTTTCTAGACCTCTGGTACTTCCGCTGTGCTGCAGGAACGTTGAAAGATTATTCTCAGTGATTCCAGATCTCTCAGAGATAAATTAATATGATGCATCTTCTACTCATTCCTATGCTATGGCATATGTTCTTTCAATTTTGCAAGACACAAATCACTTATTTCTCATTTTACAACAGCTCTCTTGTTGTAAATGTTCCAAAATGCTATCAGAACTTAAAATGTAAGAGACCTGTAGAATTATGAACTTTTTCTTCTGTCCATGGTGCTGATTAGAAAAGAATTTTAAGCAGAACTGGAGTAAAGCAAGAGAAACCATGAAAATCATATTTCCCTGTGTACTTGCAGTTAAGCTGAGAATTTTAGATGCTAAAATGCACCACCATATTTGGGTCTGTATTTTCCATTGATGGACTTATAGATGAGTATATATATTAACAGATTTTTCAAGTACCCATATATCCCATATATATTTATGTACAAGCTCATCTTTGGATAAGCTGTTGAATTTTTAATAAAAATACCATGAAAAATATGCATCAGCTTATTTGTGACTAATACCTTTCCCATGGTATTTCTCTTTAAAAATTGATGGTCTTCTTATCTGAGGAAGGGATTTTACATATATATATACAGCAATCTTATTAAAACTGTAACTAGTAAAAGGGGAAAAGAAATAGCCCTCTGTTTTATTATGAATCTAGTACAAATAACAGTTTTCAAAAATCATAGCTTCAAATAGGTTAAGTGTTACTGTAATCTTGATGACTCAGGCAAGGAACAAGGAATGGCAATGAAATTTTGAAGAGGATATATATATATAATGCAGAATAATCATACCGTGTACGGGTTCTGGGAAGTCGGGGGGGTGGGGGTGGAGGGAGGGAGGGGCACACACACACAAAAAAAATTGTACTTCAATGTCTTAATGATTGACAAATGATGACATATTTGTGTTTTTTTTCTTAAAAGAAAAATAAAAAAGTTCTGTTTAAAAAATAATAATAATAATGCAGAATAATCTACCTGTGTTAAAAGTAAATTCAGTTGCCAGCCTAGGCCTGAGCTATCTTTCTGCAATCAACTAAAAAAGATGACAAATACTTTGACAAATCAAATCATTGTAACCCAGTGGGAAGTAGAACTTCCATGACTGAAATGAAATGTATCAATGGTATATAACATTCTCCAGAAATTCTTTTCAGGTAATTAACATAGGAGCAATGTATTCATTGAGATTTCTCTTAATTTAAGCTGCAATGCCAAAGTGATGCCACAATGGCAATGGCACAATTTCAAGACGTTATGGCTATCAATGAAATATGCTGAAATCTGAATTGAAGATCAAACATTTTCCATTCCTGCACATTTAAAGATTCTCAGTGGAAACTACTTTTCAACAGGCATGTTTTAACAATTCACTTGTACATAAAAGTATTTACATTTTAATCTCTTTTTATCTCTTTTTTAAATTGTGTGAATTGTTTATTGTTTATTGAAACAATTCTTTAAATTCTAATATGTTTTCGAAGCTACAGAAAATTCTGTCTTATTTCATGTGGAATCTGAACTAGTTCATAAGTAAAATAGAGCTCAAGTGAGAGGAAAGAAATCAGAGTTTGCTGCCTAGGTGATTTTGATGTATAAGGTCCAATGACTGAAATATTGTTTTAATTAATTCTTATATCTAACAATGAGAAGAAAAAGAAGATTATAAATAAGACTCTAATTTTTCCATGATTTTTAAAAAGTGTAATAAACAATAAAAGAATCAAATAAAAATAATAAGAAAAAGAGTGACATAGAAATGATAAGACTGGGAGGAATTGTCAAAACTGAAACCCATTATCAAATTTGGTTAAGTGGAAGTATTCAACCAGGGGACCAATGTAGGAGATGGTTTCATTGGTGAGATGCATGAATTCTGAGCCTAATGTGCAGTCACTGTGTACCATATGCAGTGACAACTTGGTTCCCTGCAGAAATTTTTAATTCTCACGAATTCAGCTCCAGTCTGTATGACCAATGCAAGATATTGGTGAGTCATAATATAAACCATATAAAAACATTGATTTTCTTTGTCATCTATGACAATAATGTGCAGAACACATTGGAATAGTTTACTGTCATCGTTCTCAAATTCTCTGTTAATTTCTGATCCCCTCTATCTTACCCCCCTTGTTTCCATCGCATACTAAACTTGCTGGGCTGTAGGATGCTACAAACTAGACAGCTACCTGTGGGCCAGTTACAGATTGGAAGCCTTCTGGACTAAGTCCATCACCCTCCTCCTGAAATGAAACCCAATAAAAAGTTCCACTGCATCTTTCAGATCACCGGTTTCCTCTTTATCTCGTTACTACGATGAAGCACTTCAAGCTTCTCTGTGCTGAAAAGTTGAGAACCAAAGACTGGGGGGAGTGGGACGGACTATCATTTGCTCTCCAAGGGCGCCAGCCGGATGAACCGGATCTGCGCGCCTGAAAGTTTCCCAGAAGAAGGCAAGGTGATCTTCCAGAGACCATGATTGCGATGGTTCTCCCTTTAAATTAACTTCCGCTAAGATATTGACATCCATCACGGATAGATTACGACTCTCAGAACTCCCAGTTCTCAGGATGGGTCTTCTGGAAAAATACCCTACTCTATCCAGCAAATCAATGCCCGTTCTCTTCGGGCGGCGACGGGAGGAGTGAACCAGACGGGTGACTGCTTACTTTCCGATCAATGAACGGTCGGCGCCAACACAGATCAATGGGCGGCTGTAGCCAGAGGCGGCGGTGTTGGTTGGTTTCTGCCAAGGACCCATCTTCTCGCCTCCTGCGATCAAAAGTCTTAGCATCGCAGCTGTTGCGCAAATCTCTGCCGGATTTCTAGAAACTAAATAGCTCGAACTCTGTCTTACTGGCTTACTTTTGTTCATCATATCGCCCCTACTTTGCCGACAGAAACCTCTCCATATCCCCGCCCCCTTTACAGTAGAAATTCCCGTTGAAGTCCTGGAGGTTTAGTAAAAATAAGGCCTCCCCCAACCTAACAGTGCTCTATAACAGACATCAGTATGAACTAATATGTCACATAGTGCCATGGACATTGTAGTTCAATCAAGCAATAAGCTTATCAATCATCAGACTTAGAAGAGAGATCTGAGTGTCTTAATATGAGCACTGTCTTGCCCTGCCCTTCCCCTTCCTAGAAGTAGAGGATTGCAATTTGATCCAAAAGATTGGTTTCCTAATGCCATTTTTACCTGTTTTCCAGCTCCAGTCCAGTTTATTGTTTGTTTCTATTACTGTAAACCAACACAGCAAACCTAGTTCATTTCACCATTCACCAGTCCAAGGAGACCCTTAGCTGGTACACATTGAGAAGCACAAATTATGTGAGCAAGATTCTAATCATTATTATTTTACAAAATATTGTTTGTCTTAATCAATGTGTTGACATGATCCATCTTGCTGATTTTCATTTTCATTTATTATTTTTTTCACAATAAATGTCAACTTTGGGTGGGGGGATGAAAATAAAAAAAAATATTCTTAAAATATAAAAGATTCTTGGCTGATTATTATTTCAAAAACCAATAGTATCTCGTTTAGAAATTTCTATTGATTTCAATGGTCACTGCTTCCATCTAAGAATACTAATCATCAGTTTACATGTTTAAGTCAGAAGAATGGAAAATGGCTGTCCTGCTGGTCTCAGTATTTTATTCTAAAAGCATTTAAGTTTCTCATCCAAAAAGAGCAAAACCTTTAGTTTGTGATGGGTCATATAGAATAAAATTCAGGTTCAATTCAAAATCAATTGAAATACATTGATCTATATCTAAGTTATAGCTAATTCAGTCCATAAATTCTTCTGGATCTGTTCCACATAAAAAAGCAGGTATTACTACATCTGTGTTTGTTAATTCACCAAATAAAGATAGTCCTCGACTTACTCGAACAGTTCATTTAGTGACCATTCAAAGTTACAACGGCACTGAAAAATGTGACTTGTGATCATTTTTCACAGTTATGACCTTTACACATCCCCCATGGTCACATGATCAAAATTCAGATACTTGTCAACTGGTTCATATTTATGATTTTGCTGGGCCCCAAGGTCACGTGATCACATTTTATGACCTTCTGACAAGCAAAGTCAATGGGGAAACCAGATTCACTTAACTGGTTTACTGCAGTGATTCACTTAACAACTGTGGCAAGAAAGGTCATCAAATGGAGTAAAACTCAATAAATGTCTCACTTACCAACACAAATTTTGAACTAAATTGTGGTCATAAATCAAAGATTACTTGTAATCCACTATTAGCAGCCATTCATGGTGAACTTAAAGCACCTGATATTTATGAAATTATATACCGGTATACTTTTAAAAAAGGTTAAAAGCATGATGGTACAATTCTGGGGTCCTAAAACCTAGATTCTAGTAGGTTATTGTTTCAACTGAAACTGTTAAAGATTACAGTATAGAAAATTGTGAGAATTTGGATGTACCACTCTAATTCTATCATACTTATGCACATCACATGCATACACTGTACAGTATAAATTAATGTCTATTTTGTAAGAAGAACATTTTACTAAATTCAGTCACAGGGGCTTCAAAATTATTCCCTGCTTGAATTTCATTGCCTGCACATAACACAAGAATTGGTTCTAAAGTCCCTATAAAGCAGAAGAGAGTATCAAAGAAGTATAGCAGTGCCATGGATGTGATTAAACAACAGAAATTGTCCTGTCTCCGTCCATTCTCCCCCGCCCCCCCCCCCCAGGTTGGAGATTTTCTATTCTATCCCTCCACTACCACCATTCAAAACTCAAACTCCACAGGAAAGTGTATGGTGCTCCCCTAGTTACGTCAGATCTGTGCAAACAAATGACAGTCTCTGAAGCACTTAACCAGACTATTTAAGGAGAAACTCTGAATGGCTTTGCTACATACTGGAGACCATTTTTTGTCCTGGCTAGTCAGAAGATCTACCTAAACTTGATTTGAAGGTAAGATTGGAAGATTTTGTAAGACTCTTTTAGCTGGGGAAAATAGAACAGCAGAGGGTAACTAGCATCTTTATGCAGTTTATGCTATCTGAATTTCTCTCCATAGTCTTGCAAATGAAATCTTCTGCAGTATTCAAAATTGAGGAAGACTGCTTAACAAGCATTTCTTAATCTTAACCAAATTGTACATAGCTCATTCATAACATTTACCTTGGGCAACGGTATATGATTTTTGGAGAGGAAGTTATGAAATTGCTTGCTACATGTTAGAATAGGGAATACTTTTTCATTAGCATTCTAAAGTATATTATCCGGGAACAATGGATTGCAACCTTATTTTTCAGTGCAGTAAATCCTATGCTCAAATGCAAATAATCTTGCACTAAGAGTGATTGTTATTCTTCAGTCTCTGGATAGATAAAGCCTTAATTATTTACAGTATTTTAATTACATCATTTGGATTTTTATCTATGCATTTCTGTATTTGGATTGAAGTGTAAAAGAAACATCATCATCATAAAATTTTAACTTCTAAGGTTTGGTTATGGGAAGTATGGAACGCAGAACAAAAAGTTGGTAACTTTTACCTTAAAAGTAAATGCTGACCACAGAATATGTATGTAATTATGATATATTATGTATTAAGCCTGTGAAAGATTTAAAATTTAAAGACCTTTAGTAACTTAAAGATAAACAAGTATTCTTTCATTAAAATAATTGATCTTATATACATTTAGCTAGAAATTGATTGTATTTTGATACCTAAGAATTGGTATTGGTATATTGTAGTATATTCTACAAATATATCAAGTTAAGAGGTAATATTCAAATTTAATTTCTTTCTCTCACAAATTTATAATAAAGTGAAATCATGATTAGGGCACACCTTTTAAAGTTCAGCCTCCACCTTTAATTACTGTTCCTTATTAACCATCTAATAAGCATTAAACTCTATAAGAGCTATATTTTCCACCTGGTGACTTTTATCTGCATTTGTGAATCTGGAATTGAAGCAAAGAATTCCATAAAAATTGAAGTACATTATGAAAAAAGAAGTGTAGTGCTACACTGCTAAACCATATAGAAATATATGAAATATATAATGTATATGACAATGTTTATAAATTGGATGCACTTGATAAAGAACAAGCCCAAAAGTACTGAAATAAATATTTTAATGTATTTTAAAAGCACAATCTTTGCAAATCTGAATATGACTATTCCTTCTTATTCCTGTTTAGCTATGTATAGTGGGATTTGCATCTTCCTATGCCTGGTGATGTTGTCCCTGAACACCTTGGGACAGCAAACATCTGGATCTCACCATGCAATGACAAATCTCGAGCAGAGCTTAATAGAAAATCACCGACATGCCCGTATTCCAACTTCAGGGAAATCTGTCCAGCTGGTAGATGGCAGCATTGACCAAAAGGCCAACCTTGGAGCTCTGTTAGCCAAATATCTCCAGCAAGCCCGAAGAGGTATACCTTTTAATCATTTTCTGCTCCAGGCATTCCTTAGTTTTAAAGAAATCCCCTTTCAAAATTCAGTACCTAAATAGATTCAGACTGAAGTTAAAGTGATCTCATTCTGTCAGACATGTGAGAGAGGAAAGCCAGCATCATTCCCACACAATGTGGCCTTTCAACACTTTTGGAATACACTAGCTTGGGAATGTGGCAAAGAGATTAAAATTGTCTTTTATTAGCAATCAACACAGTTATGCAACTTTTCCCCAGCTGGCATCATCGAAATATGTTGAGATAACACATATCAACATTCTAAGCCATCGGAATTTGGTTAATGAGTCTTTCTTCAAATACATACAGGAATCACTTTAAAACTCCCTCTTCTCTTCCACATATCATCACATCTTTCTCAGTTTTATTCTGTGACTATCTTAATTATCCAGAAATATCATAGTAAATCCCTTTCAGCAGATATAGCAAAGAAATGAGAAGTTTACATATAGTGCTATATCTCCCCATTCCTGAAGACATAGCAATGAATAAGAAAGAGATAATTGCTGAGGCTGCAAGGTTTTAGGGGCATTTATAGAAACTGATTGCAAGGCTAGCTAAAGACCAGTGAGGGGCCCATATGAAATAGATTAGGAAGCAGAATTATTATCAAATTCCTATCCTTAAATGCTTTCTTTAGTCTTTCATTTTTTTACAAAAAGGAAGGAAGGAAAGCAAGCATTAGTATCTCCTATAAGTGCTTATTATATACCATAATATCATCAGGCAAATGGCATGGATGATTTAATTTGAATCACAAATCATGACATGCTTGATGCATTAGTCCCTCCATTTGTGTGATATGAGACATGTGTTGTCACTTATCTTCTGTAGGCCTCCATATTAGCAGATAATAACTAGGGAAGAGTAAATGTGTTAACGGCAAGAAGGGAAAAGGAAGAAAGGAAAAAAGAAAGAAAAGCTCATTATGGAAGGAGAGCTGAAAGGAAATAGCGTGTGTGCTTGCTCCTCACTCTGAAAGGTGTAATTTTAGGTGTTTACATGAAAACAGTGTGGTGACACTCTGCATGTGTTGTTTGCTTCCATCCAATATTAAATTGGATGATTGCACATCAATGGGACACACTTGTGGATCTAAGATGAATCCAACATGGAATAAAGCATACAATGACCATTTGAAGTTTTCTAATGTTTGAAAGAAATTGGATCAAAAATATCTGTCTCTTGGGAAAGAGACATTTTCTGTCAATTTCTTCAGGGCACTCTTACCAATCACAGCAGCTACTTAAGAGCCAGATGGAAGGAGTTATTTTATTAGAGAGCCAGGAGGCTACAGATCAGTGGAAACATCATTCTAGGTTATTCACATGTACCTTTCAGCTATCTCCTATTTCAAGACAATTTCTCAGAAATAAATGTTCTTTTCCTTTTCCTCCAAATGAAGAAATTTTGAAAGCAAATGCTCATTTATCAAATTGAATTAATACTGGTAGTTTGTTTTTTTTTTTAAAAAAAAAAAACCAATCAAGCAGCAGATGAACAGGTCTGCCCTATTTTCTTCAACATTGACAAGAGATCTGTACATTGCCTCTACAGATAAAATTCCCGTTTGCTAGCAGTAGACCAAAATGCCTTTATATAGGTTTAATGGGTTACCTGGGGATCAGGATGGGCAGATTCAACGTTTCAGAATCTGTTCTTTGTCTGTTTGTTTGTGTCTCTCTGTGTTAATTGGAAACCTGATATCAAACTAGTAAGAAACAATGACCAAAGAATGGTTCAAGCTGGGCTAATAAAGTTTTAAAGGAAAAGATGCTATATATTTAGCTTGAATTTTTTGATCAGCACCAGAACCAAGCTTACAAGTACAATCTCAAACAAATGTGTTTTTCCCCCAATGTGATTTGTTTCAGCAACCTCCCGGATTTTTTTTCTTTTTTGTGGATGTAGAAGTGACAAGTTAATGAATATGTTGCTACTACTGGGAGACTACATTTTTAAAATTATCCAGACAATTACCAGTGCATCTTGATTCTGTCTTTTTAATTTTATTTTAGAATGGATTTTGCTAATATATTTTTAATGATGCTTTACAAAAGCACATCCTTCTGGCACTGTAACTATGCACATGCAACAGCTATTTTACTGTCTACAATTTATTTATCAATAAAACTGTAACTTTAAAATGTTTAAACTGACCAAAATTAGTGGTATATCACAATCAATGTTTGCAGAAGGAAAAATGCAGGTTTCATATGATATTGGATGATAATGTTCACCATCACAGGATATTTATTTTAGAACATTTAATGTTCTATAATTGGTTTAAAATATATAAAAAATCATATTATTAAAAATGAGTCTGCTTATTTTTATGTTGCTGTCCAATATTTAGGTTCTACTGGAAAAGTCTCCGTGATGGGGTTCCAGAATTTTGACCCTACCCACAGGATAAGGGATAGGGACTACATGGGCTGGATGGATTTTGGACGTCGCAGCGCTGAAGAATATGAATATTCCTCTTAAAGATTGTACAATTTTGCTTAAAAGAAGTGAAAATCAAGTCCTTATACAGAAATATAATTTTCTGCAGAAAAAAATGTTGGCATCCTTTGCAAATTGGTGTTTAAAATATATGTAAAACTATACAATATATATTTTGCAAACAGACACAGAATTTTCAATAATGTTCAGATGTTATTCATTTCTTAATAATTTTATCATTGCAAATGTTGCTCTCCCTTTCTAAAAATGTTTACAGTTTTACATATGGATCATTTGTTAATTTGAACTATTTATGTGTTAAATAAGAAAAATATCACCCATGGATCAAATTCAGATACACTCAAAAGTAGTATTATTGTAATCAGTGAGACTTAAATTTGTCACAAATTGCTGAATTCTTGACAAATGAGTCCTCTCTACATATGACTAAATCTTGATTTTATTCTATTTGTCTAGATAGTAACACTATAGAAAAGACATTATGCCAGTACATTAGTCAAATAATTTTCTACGCATGTTATGGCCTCTAGTTATTTGATTTTGTGCTGTAAATGTGAAAATTCTGATAAAATTATTCATACTAGAATAAACAGAAATTTCCTTGCTTTGTGCCTCTGTGTTTGCTTTGCAATGCAAAATTACACTTATGTCTTTCTCTCCTCATGACCACATAATTGAGCATAAGGATATATTGCTATGACTGGAAGGAATTAGAGCACTGATTTAAATCTGAAAATAGAGTTACACTGTTAGATTTTTTTAAAGGTTTTTTTAAAATTTTGTATTAACTTAAATAAAAAGCAATATTTTATAAAACATAGTTGAAGAGGAGTGGATCAGCAGGAGCATTGTCAATAATAGTGGGAAAATGATGGAAGGAAGGTAGTAAAAATATTGGCAGAAGCCTCTGAAAAGTGCTGGGAAGATTGGGATGAGCTGCCAGGTTAGCATTAGAAATATCAGACTAGTGGGAAGATATTGGAAAGATAAAGTTCAAGGATGATACTTGGTGCCCAGTTTAAACACTTGGTGCCTAATTTAAATAACATACTGTTAATTAAATATATCTCTCTCTCCCTCTCTCTCTCTCTTTCTCTCCTACCCACCTATCTATCTACCTGCCAACTTACATTCTCTCTCTCTCTCTCTCTCTCTCTCTCTCTCTCTCTCCCACACACACACACACACAGAGAGAGACCCACCCTACCCATCTATCTATCTGTCAACTTACATGTATCTCTCTCATCTATTTCTCTATCTCCCTATCTCTCTATCTCACTATCTCTCTATCTCACTATCTATCATCACAGACCAAACATACTTTATACATCTTAAACAGAATTCTTCCATTTTATTGCTAAATATTATTTAGCAATAAATAAAGAATTGATAGATTTACATTATCAAATGGTCAATCAAAATTGATGTGAGAATGACAAAAAGAATAAATATTTGAATGTGAGGACATAACTGAGTTATTCTGTGTGAGAGAGAATTGGTAGAGATAGTGTTGGAAGAAATGTCCTTCTGGGTTCAGCTCCAAGTGGGGAAAAAGACACTGGAGGCATGGAGGCTGCTTAGAAAGATGGTTTAATGTTTT